GTTGCTGCTGCAACCACCGCTCACTTGAAAGCCACATTACCTGCTTGTCCAGCCCTCCGATATCACTGTAATCTTCAGTCGGCTTCTCGTCCACCTCCATGGCCTTCACGCGTGAGTCATACTCCGCAGGCAGCGTGTCAAGAATCAAATAGCTGTCCTTGTTCACGCCCACCAGGTCGCCCGGCTTCAGCGCGTCCGCGTCGACGAGCCCCACGACGGGCAGGAAGATGGTTTGGCGCGTGGACGTCTTGAGCACCACGCACTTGCCCTTGCGTAGAGAATCCAGGTCCAAGTTCGCGCCGTCCTCGGGACTCTCGTCCTCGGGATTCACGTCTAGGACCTGCGGGAAGAGGGGGGAGGAGACGGGGGAAGGCGGAGGGGAAGGAGGGGAAGAAGAGCAGGAGGGGAGGGGGTTGAGCGCGTCCACGAGCCCCACGACGGGCAGGAAGATGGTTTGGCGCGTGGACGTCTTGAGCACCACACACTTGCCCTTGCGCAGCGAGTCCAGGTCCAGATTCGCTCCGTCCTCGGGGCTCTCGTCCTCGGGATTCACGTCTAACACCTGAGGGCCGAGGCAAGGGGGGGGGACGGGGGGAAGGGGAAGGGGTAGGGGGCGGGGGCAAGGGGAAGGGCGAGGGGACAGGAGAAGGGGATGCGGGGAAGGAGGGGAAGAAGAGCAGGAGGGGAGGGGGGTTGAGCGGCCACGCGTCCACGAGCCCCACGACGGGCAGGAAGATGGTTTGGCGCGTGGACGTCTTGAGCACCACGCACTTGCCCTTGCGCAGAGAATCCAGGTCCAAGTTCGCACCGTCCTCAGGGCTCTCGTCCTCGGGATTCACGTCTAGGACCTGAGGGGGCGGGAAAGGAAAGGGGAAGGGGGAGGGGACGGTTGAAGGGGATGCGGGGAAGGAGGGACGCGGGGAAGGTGGGGAAGAAGAGCAGGAGTGGAGCAGGAGAGGGAAAGAGCAGGAGGGGGAAAGAGCGCCAGACGTGAATTCTTTTGTCAGAAGGTTCAACGAACGCACATGATGATTGCTGCTACAGAAGGCTCACATGCTGACGTATGCTGAGGTGATCACATGCTAATAACGAGCTGACTGAAGCAGCTCACCTCGACGACGTTTCCAACGAGGTATGGCAACCGCTTGTTAAGCTTGACCTCCTGGTTGGCTTTTAAGCCGTCTCAAAAGTCAACGCAGCTCACCTCGACGACGTTCCCAACGAGGTACGGCAGCTGCTTGTTGAGCTTAATCTTCTCCTGGTTCTCCTTGATCTTCTCTTTCATGGACTCATGCTCCAGATGCACGCGCTGTGACTCGTCCTGATTGCACCAGGAGGAGAGAACGAGAGAAAGGGAGAGATGTTCAAGGCGAAGTAAAAACGGAGGGTAGGATGTCTTCCAAATTCACCCGCTGGAAATCGGCTTGAGTTAATACCAACGAAGAAGATGCGACGAAATTGCCAGGAAGCAAGAAGCACGGATTTAGAGTGGGTGACGCAGGAATCTGCGACAAATCGTCGCGGAGAAAAAGAGAGTCTGAATGATTGGTACGAAGAACGGGGCTGGTTCACAGCGGGAGACGGAGGTCAGGGAGGGACCAAGTAAACTGAGCAAGATTCCGAATTCTGGATGAAGTGCATAGGAGGAAATTACTAGTCTCGAAAGGTCGGATGGCTGTCTCCGCCAACGAAGTTATAAACGAGACTAAAGACGGATGCTACTGACACTGAACTGCAAAATGAATGATCTGAATAGATTTACTGAATCTCGAATTCAGATCTGTACTTCCGTTTGCTAGCCAAGCCTACTGATGCGCGGTCCCCGTACTGAGAAACGTTCGACCCTAACAGAGTAACAACCTAATCCACACTATGGCTGCGAAAAAGTTCCACGGTTTCGAATTCCACTCGCATCTTGCAATCGGGGTTCGATGATCGTTCTCCGGCGGTCTGGACGGCCAAACATATCACTCCAAGAGCTATTACGACGAATCTGAAGACCTCTCGCATCGCACCTTGAGGACGCGAATCTCGTTATCGAGCAACCTAGATCGGCGAATGATATCGTCCGCGCTCATGAACGCGAGCTCGTCGCCGATTCCGCCGTCGTCGTCGAATATATCGTCCTCGTTGAAAGCCGCCATGGCTGGAAACTTGGAGCAAACAGAGAGCTGAAAGAGAGTCAACGGACGAACAGCAGCGAATCTGTCGACTAATCGCTGGCTGGAAGGTAGCGATTGTATGACAAACACGGTGATCGGTTCTGTGTGAAATGGCAATCCCGATGAGGCGAAGGAAAACTTCAGCTGTTTGGAGCGAACACTGTTGTAGCTGATTCGATTTCACGGTGTGCTCAAGATATAATATCCTACGATTTGTTTATACGGAATATGCGCATTCTCCATCTAGCTTGGGGTTTAGGGTGAATACTAAAATCAAACCAGAAAAATGTCAACTACTGAATTCATAACAGCAGCATACCAGCATTGGCCAGAACAGTACCATGTTTCTATGGGTTTATCTAGCACAAGCATGTGCTCGGACACATGTTCTCAGCAAGCATCAGGCTTGTTTGATTTCCAAGACTTCTTACTGGTGTCGACCAAAACGCAACTGCAACTCTCCTTCCCCGTGCATCTCCATCAACCCCTCTTCTCCAAACATGAGTAGAGGCACAGGCCAATGCCAATGCAGACAAAGAGAATAGCGAAGCTAATGAGCAGCCAGGCCCACCACTCGAGACCACTACTGCAGGACTGACTGCAGGTAGCTCCCTGGTACATTTGAGCTGGCGTTTGCAAAAAAAACGGAAACGGTGGGACAGAAAAACAGTAAGCATAGATAATGTGTGTGCTTGTGCGGATGTAAAGTATTCGGTGCATGTAAATATTCCATACAGTGTGTGCTGTAAAGAATATTGGTGGGGTATTCAGAGGCGTAAAGGAAGTGAGTGAAAGATAGTGAAAGATCCGTTTGTACAGAGAGAGAGAGAGAGAGAGAGAGAGAGAGAGAGAGAGAGAGAGAGAGAGAGAGAGAGAGAGAGAGAGAGGGACGGGTGAAGGACAGGGGTTGGGGGGGTGGGGCGGTGGGGGAAAGGGGGAAGAGAAGGGTGGGGATGGAGGAGGGGGAATGAGAGGGACGGAGTGAGATGGGTAGGATCAGAGAGTCCAAGACTACGTACCGGTTTGGCCAGAAGTAACATTGGTCACACCGACCCAGTAGGGCTGGAAATAAGTACCACAGCCACTATAGGTCAACGCCACGCAGTTCTGCAGTGGGAATGCAGCGCAGTGTTTCCCATTTTCAGTGTCGTGCGATGGCCCATAGTGGTTAAAACGCGTGACGTGCGCGACATTGCGTTGTCAACGAATGATTAGAGGCGGGCAAAAAGGCAGGAAAAGGTGGGAAAACAAAAGGAAATACAGGAATTGGCATTGACTTATTTTGGAAGCACATCGCATAAAAACGACGAAAAGCATGAAGAGGGAATACGAAAACGGCGAAGGAGATTGTGGGATAAGTACATGGGCTGGTTTTTTAGCAAATGTCAGGAGAATGTGTTGGTCGAGATAAATCACGAAAAGATATAGAATAACGCGAGGACAGAGCAGTGACGTACGTTGCAGGCTTGGGTGCAGGCAGGAACGACGTATGACGTGTTCGTTGGATTTTGACACGGCGTCGAACAATCGTAAGCGAACGCCACGCCGCAGAACGCGGAGATGAACATAAATATAGTGGCAACTACTAAAAGGTTCCTCATCGTGTGGGAAACGGAAATGACGGGTTTCAACAAGTATACGGTAACCGGCAGATGAATAATCGTTGAGAACAAGGAAGGTTAGGAACCAGTGTTGAAATGGGGAAGCAAGATTGGAATTGTCTACTAGTCTGCTATGTAGTGCTCTCAACTCAATGCTTGCTGAAATGGCCAGAAATGGCAAGGCTGCCACAACAAATGGCGGGAAAAACGATCCAGCTTGCAAAGCGGTTCGGTTGGCGGTGTCCGATTTGCTGGTGGCTTGGCTGCTGTGAAAGTTCATGCGAGGTTTGGTGGAGGATAATATGACTGCTAAACAAGCACGGTTTAGTGGGTTTCCGAATGACTTTGCACGGTTCAGTAGCCTGCAGCTCGATTTCTCTGGAGGCTTGGCAATTCTGTTTGAACTCGGGGCACATTATCAGGTCTGGCTGCCAGCCTGGCCGTAGCCCCGTTAAAAGAATTCGTTCGGAAGATTCCGAGCCTAGAGCCACAATAGACAATTTGGTGCCCCAAAAAAGAACAGCGCAAAATTGGGTGCCTAAACTGAAACGTACGCTCTTAGGAGCGACTATGGTACCGTGTGTGTTAGAAGCCCCAATGAGCTGATGCATATAGATAGATACGCTTGGCTATTAGTGCAAATAGACAAACAAATGCTACCCACTGAGTGAGCCTGAAATATTTTGAATTGACCCTATGTTCAAGCTTGTTTCTTACTGGATCAATCTTGTTGAGAATAGCAGATCATGATTGACAAGGCACCATAAAAAAGGTGGAATACGGTAACCCCATTGCACCTCACAAACACCAGTCAATTGAGGCGTGGTGTGGTTTAGGCGTAGATGGATGTATAGTAGTAGACGTGGAACTTTCAGGCCCCTGTGATCGTTTTTCTCCATCCAACAGTCTAGTCAGTTGGCTGAGTATTTGGTTGGTGTGAATGAACTGGACTCACGGCACCTAGGATCCTAGGCGGGCGGACACATACAAAGTGGTTGTCTTTAAGGTGAAAACTCGAACTGTCGTTCTCAGAGATCTCAAGCTCCGCAAAAGATGCAGGATAATGGATACGCAGCCAGCAATCAGTAATAAGCCATCATTAAACAAAATGGTAATAATGAAACAAGCTTCTCGGCATGCATACATAATGTCCATGCACTTTATTGGACGCCGGAATTCACAGCATGTGCAGGACACACGTAAAGGTCCAAACGCTGAACTCCCCCAGCTGCAACGCTTACCACACCCACGTGTACCCTGCGGCCTTTGCTGCAGCTTCGGCCTGCTGCGCAGCGATAGTGGCATTGTAGGCACGCGACGCCATGAGAGTCGAGTTGTTATCCGCGCTCGTCTTCGCGGTGACCGCCTTGCTCAGCAGGATCTTCGCATTCGACACGTTCGCCGATTTCGCGGGGATAGACGCGTTCGCGTAGTTCACGTCGAACTGCGCCTGCGTCACCGCCGTCGCCGCCGCCGCATCCGCCGCAACGCCAGCGTCGAGGTTCGCATTGGCGGCCGCCACGGCTTGCTGCTGCTTCAGGAGCTCCGCCTGAACCGCATCGGGGTTGTCCAGGTCGTTCTGCCTCTTAACCAAGAAATATCCGCGGCGCGATTCGCCTGGTCGACCATGTCCTTGAGAATGGCCTCGGCTTGGGTCTTCACCGCCATCGCTTCGGCAAGCTTGGCTTGCGCTGCGGCCAGATCGGCGCCTGTGAGGCTCGAGTCGGCCGCCTTCTTCGCCGCGTCGATCGCTTCGATGTTTGCGTCGGAGACCTCGCCCTGCTGGGTGTCCACCAGGGTCGACGTCATGTTGGCGCGTCGCTTCGCGTCCTCCACGGCTTGCGTGAGCGACGTCACGTCCGTGCCCTGCGCGACGAGCTTGTCCAGCTGCGCTTGCGCCTCATCCGTGAGGTTCTGAAGCCCCGGGATCGCGGCGGCCGTGGCGTTCTTCGCGGCGATCTTATTAGCGAGGACGATCTTGAGACGGTTGACGAGGGGTAACGCGTCGTTGTACGCGGCCGTGGCGTTCGCGAGCGTCGCGTTGGCGTTGATAACATCCTGCGCCCTCAGCGCCTGGGTGGCGTTCGCGGTTGCGGAATCCCTGGTGCAGTTGATGGCGAACGCTCTCGTCTGGCGCGCCTTCGTGACGAGGAACGGCTCCGTCTGGCCGGTAGCGAAGGACGCGTACGCTGCTACTGCGAGGAGAGCCAGCAGCAGGAAGGATGGGTTGCGAATGGACGCCATGTTACGGTGCAGTAAAGTTGAAACTAGCAGTGCGTGTAGCAGGATGAAGTGAAGTGAGCTGCGAGTAGAGCACGTTGCTTGGGAGAGCTTCAGATTGTTGGGGAGAGGAGTGTGGGAACTGATGATTGAAGCAGTGGGGTGTGCTGATGTTTTATGAAGACGTGGGATCAATTCGAGGGATGAGGCGAAATCGACATGCGGGGCAGAATGTCGAGACTCGAGACCAGTGAATGGCTACGCGGTTCGGTACAGGGAGAAGAGAGTGAGTCGCGGCTCGACAACAAGGGTGGGCTGGGTTGGCCCGCCCTCGCGTTGCAAGATGTGGCGAAGTGTGGCGAGTGTTGGCAGCCAGGCTTGCTGCGGGTTTGGTTCAGGTCGAGGGTGTCCCGTACGCGGGTTACGGTCTAGTTTGGTGAATCGCAGTACAGCACGGTGACATTGAAAGGCGTTTTCAACCGTGTGGAACCGTCCCAAGCCACTAGGAACGACCTGTAAATGCCGAACCCCCTGAGCAAGGTTCACAAGCACTGAGCTCAAACCAATCATAAATTCACGGTCATACCTGAAAGATTTGAGTTCCCAATAGGAAGCGCGTCTCACCTCCAGAAAAGTTTTCTAATGTGAAGCCGCAGACCACGATGAAGCTCAGGGAAACGCTCCACGAGGCGGAGTATGGATGCGTTGTGGAAAACAGCTGGCCCCCAGGTCCAGCGATGAGGCTTGAGGGCGAGGGTGATGGGGTAGCGAAGAGTTTGGGTGGTAACAAAGGTATGGAACTACCATATACACCTACAATTGTGAGAATTTCATACACCAGCAACTTTGAAACTAACCAAATGCCATGGTATACTTCTGTAAGTTGAGGGAAAATGAACCACAAGAACCATATGATATTCATATAACAATAAGAAATTATATCTCGATTGAAATCATGAGAAAAACAGAGCATTATTTGTCAAAATTTTGATCGGCTGTCTTGAAAACTGACACGATTCACGGTGTATTTACATTTTTTTTTCAACAAGAAATGGATAAACTTTTATTTCTCAGTTTTGACGGAAGCACAACTCTCTGTATCAAGTTCATCAAATACTCAACATGATTTGAGTCATACCGTCTATGTTAATGCTATGGCTTTCACATTTTCATATCGTGTCAACAACGAGATCTCCTTTACCGAGCCAACTGGATCACTTCACATCTCGTGGTCAAGGTTGATACATAAATTCTCTTATCCATCTCGTTTCCGCCCTTCCCCGCTACTGACGCTTGTCTTTCTAGGTACGACACCCGCTATCATGGACGACGAGGATATCAAGATCGCGAGCGTTCCCAAGAAGCCGATTTTCTTTGGAAGCCTCGAGTTTGCCGAGAAGCAGCGGCTCGAGAAGCTGAAGAAGCAGGCTGCCACGTTCGCCGCGACAGGCGTGGTGGGTGCCGACGATTCGGATAACGACGGGGACAAGGAAGGGGAGAAGGAGGAGGAGAAGGAGGAAAAGTCGGGAGATGGTGAGGGGGAGGACGAGGAGGATGAGGATGAGGAAGAGGAGGATGAAGAAGAGGGAGGAGAAGGAGGGGTTAAGGGTGAGGGAGTCGAGTACGAGCTTTCGGAGACCGGCAAACGCGCGAAGGAGCGTCAGGAGCAGATGCTTAAAGAGCTCGAGATGAAGCGACGCGCGCGCGCGCTCGCGGTGCCTACTAGCGACACGGCGGTGCGGTTGCGGCTCCGCGCGATCGGAGAGCCAATCACGCTCTTCGGCGAGCGCGAAATGGAGCGGCGCGACCGACTTAGGTCGTTCATGGCTAACTTAGACGCCGAGGGGCGGCTCGACGAGCTTTACGAAGCGATCGAGCGGCAAATGCGGGAGAGCGGGGAGGGCGGCGCGGAGGTTCTAGAAACGGAGGAGGTGCCTCAAGCGGAGTTGTTTTATACCGAGGGAAGCAAGGAGCTGCTACTGGCGCGGCAGGAGATTGCGGTGTTTTCGCTGCCCCGGGCAGGTGAAAGAATTCGGCGCGCGAAGCGGCGGCGCGAGGATCCCGATGAGGACGAGGAGGCGGAGGCGAAGGAGTTGATTGGCGCTGTGCAGGGAATGAGCATGCAGGTGGGTTGAGAGCGGCGCTGAGCGGTGCAGGGAATGAGTATGCAGGTCAAGGATCCTGATGAGGACGAGGAGGCGGAGGCGTTTTAAGTTGCGCGGTGCAAGGACTGCGCATGCAGGTGGGTTGAGAGCAATGCTGAGTGGTGCAAGGGATGAGCATGCAGGTGGGTTGAGAGCAATGCTGAGTGGTGCAAGGGATGAGCATGCATGTGGGTTGAGAGCAATGCTGAGTGGTGCAAGGGATGAGCATGCATGTGGGTTGAGAGCAATGCTGAGTGGTGCAAGGGATGAGCATGCAGGTGGGTTGAGAGCAATGCTGAGTGGTGCAAGGGATGAGCATGCATGTGGGTTGAGAGCAATGCTGAGTGGTGCAAGGGATGAGCATGCATGTGGGTTGAGAGCAATGCTGAGTGGTGCAAGGGATGAGCATGCATGTGGGTTGAGAGCCTTTCTGAATGGTGCAGGGGATGAGCATGAGCATGCAGGCGGGTTGAGAGCAGTACTGAGTGGTGCCAATGTCCCCACTTCCCATCTCCCCCACGCATCCCCAGGTATCAGAGATAAGCGATGAGCGTCCCATCTCCGCCTGCAACCTCTCCCCCAGCGCATCACTGCTCATTCCCCCAGCGCATCACTGCTCATTCCCCCAGCGCATCACTGCTCATTCCCCCAGCGCATCACTGCTCATTCCCCCAGCGCATCACTGCTCAGAACCCTCATACTCCTTCTCATTCCCCCCAACACCCCCTCCCTTCCTCCCCCCCCCCCCCCCCCCACGCATCCCCAGGTATCAGAGATAGGCCATGAGCGCCGCATCTCCGCCTGCGCCGTCTCCCCCGACGCCTCTCTGCTCGCCTCGTCAGGATTTCACCCCCCATGCCATTGCGCCCCCCTTCTCCGTCCCCTGTCCCCCCCTCCCTCCCCCCCCCCCCCAGGTATCAGAGATAGGCGACGAGCGCCCCATCTCCGCCTGCGCCCTCTCCCCCGACGCCTCTCTTGTTGCCACGTCAGGGTGGAGCGGCGCCTGCCGCCTCTGGTCGCTGCCAGCTGTGCGGGCGGCGGGCGCCCTGCGCGGCCACTCAGAGCGCACCACGTGTGTGGCCTGGCACCCCCACGCGCTCTCCTCGCTCCCCGCCTCCGGGCCCAACCTTGCCACGGCCGGTGCTGACAAGTGAGAGGATGGTGGGGTGGGGTAGAATCAGGACTGGGGCTGCTGCGTATTGCTTAACAGTGCCACCCCCACGCGCTCTCCTCGCTCTCTTCGCTCTCTGCCTCCGGCCCCAACCTCGCCACGGCTGGAGCTGACAGGTACAGCCTACAGGACTGCGCGGGGTGGGTCTATTACTGGGGTACAAGTGGGTAGGTATACATAGCTGCTGCATTTGGCCTGGCACCCCCATAAGCTCTCCTCGCTCTCTGCTTCTGGCCCTCTGGCCCCAATCTCGCCACAGCTGGTGCTGACAAGTGAGAGCATGGTGGGGTAGGGTTAGGACTGGGGGGCTGCTGCGTGTGGCCTGGCACCCACCCCCACGCGCTCTCCTCGCTCTCTGCTTCCGGCCCCAACCTTGCTACAGCCGGTGCTGACAGGTACAGGATTTAAACATAAGAGTTAGGCACAGGAATGCCAGGGTGGGTCTAGAGCTATGACTAGGGTACGATTGGGGTAGGAGGGCTGTCGTCTAGGGTTAGGGGGCCTGGCGTGGCGCCCCCACTCGCTCTCCTCAGTCCCAGCCTCTGGCGTTAACCTAGCGACGGCTGGTGCTGACAGGCGAGGGGACGGTGGGGTAGGGGTAGGGTTACGTCTGGGGCTGCTGTGCATGGCGTGACAGTGGCACCCACATGCGCTCTCGTCCGTCCCCGCCTCCGGCGTTAACCTAGCGACGGCTGGTGCTGATAGGTGAGGGGATGGCGGGGTAGGTAGGTCTGGGGCTAGGACCTGCCGACAGGTAAAGCAGCGTTGAACCTCAACCGGCGACTCTCTGGCTGCTTTACCTGCCGGCAGGTCCTAGCCCCACCCGTGGAGTCAACAGTTTTGAGGCGCCACAGAAATCTTATCCTCACCCGCGCCCGCCTCGCCTTCGCTCCCAACCCTCTCCTATCCTCCTCCCCCCTTCCCTCCCTCCCTGTCAGGTGCGCAGGGCAGCATCAACCCCACCCCGCCAACGGCCAATCTGACAACCCCACATCTCCCCATCAGCCTGACAACCCGGACCTCCCTCCCCCCTCCTGCCCTCCCTCTGCTCCCAGGTGCGCCCTGCTCTGGCCTCTCCCTTGGGCAGCATCAAACCCACCCGACGCCAACGGCCAATCCGACAACAACCTGGACTTTTCCTCGCGCCCCGCACCTCCTTCCTCCTCCTCCGCCCCCTCCCTCTCCACCCCTCTCCTCCGCCTCTCCGGCCACTTAGACCGAATCGCGCGAGTGGCGTTCCACCCCTCGGGAAGGTTCCTGGCAAGTACGAGCTTCGACAAGACGTGGCGGCTGTGGGATGTGGAGCGGGGGGGAGTGGAGCTGCTGCTGCAGGAGGGGCACAGCCGGGCGGTGTACGGCGTCTCTTTCCAAAAGGACGGCGCGCTCGTGGCCACGTGCGGGCTGGACGCGCTGTGTCGAGTGTGGGATCTGAGAACAGGGAGGAGCATCTTGGCACTGGAAGGGCATGTGAAGCCGGTGGGTTGGGTGCTGGTTTGAAGCGTGTTTGCTTGACTCGTGGCCACGTGTGGGCTGGACGCTCTGTGCCGGGTGTGGGACTTGAGAACGGGAAGGAGCATTCTTGCATTGGAAGGTCATGTGAAGCCGGTGCGTGGGGAAGTGAGGATGGTTTTCGCTGTGTGAATTTGAAGTGCTGGTATCAAGGTTAACCTGGTGGGCTGGTCGCGCTGTGCCGGGTGTGCGACCTGAGGATAGGGAGGAGCATTCTTGCATTGGAAGGTCATGTGAAGCCGGTGCGTGGGGAAGTGAGGATGGTTTTCACTGTGTGAATTTGAAGTGCTGGTATCAAGGTTAACCTGGTGGGCTGGACGCGCTGTGTCGAGGACCTGAGAACAGGGAGGAGCGTTCTCGCACTGGAGGGGCATGTGAAACCGGTGGGTGGGGGAATGAGGATGGGGTTTGAAGGTGTTTGTATGATCTGGGTTTTCCCCCAACGGCTATTATCTAGCCACGGGAGGGGAGGACCACATGTGTCCCCGTGGGACCCTCTAACCTCACCCCTGCACCGCCCACATCCGTCTCTCTCTCCCTGACCAACTTCCAATCCCTGTCCTCCCCTCCCTTTCAGCTCCTAGCATGCGATTTCTCCCCCAACGGATACCATCTAGCCACGGGAGGGGAGGACCACACATGCCGCGTGTGGGACCTGCGGCGATGCAGGAAGGGTGCAGGAGGGGGAGGAGGAGCGGGGGCGGCGGAGGGGAGTGGGGGCAGCCTGTATGTGATCCCTGCTCACACGCGGCTGGTGTCGGTGGTGCGGTATGAACCGAGAGAAGGGTTGCTGCTGCTCACTGCTGGCTATGATAACACCGCCAAGGTGAGAGGGGTGCAGTGCTGTAATGGGGAGTCGTGCAGTGCGGTAAACATGGGTTGCAGTGAGGGCAGCAGCCGTATGTGATCCCGGCTCACACGCGGCTGGTGTCGGTGGTGCGGTATGAACCGAGGGAGGGGCTGCTGCTGCTGACCGCTGGCTATGACAACACGGCCAAGGTGAGATTAGGTGGAGTGCGGTGAGGTGCGGTAAATATGAGTTGCAGTGGGGACAGCCTGGCAGCAGCCTGTATGTGATCCCGGCTCACACGCGGCTGGTGTCGGTGGTGCGATATGAACCGAGAGAGGGGCTGCTGCTGCTGACCGCTGGTTACGATAACACCGCCAAGGTGAGAGCGGTGCAGTGCGGTAATGGGCAGTGGTGCAGCGGTAATTTTGAGTGGTGCAGTGCGGTAGTGGGGAGTGGTTCAGTGCGGTAGTGGGGTTGAAGTGTCGGTGGTGCGGTATGAACTCAGGGAGGGGCTGCTGCTTACTGCTGGCTATGATAACACTCTTGAGTACACTCAAACCCTCCACTCCTCCGCCCTCTCTCCTCCCCTCCCCCCCCCTTCTTCCCGTCCCCCTTTCCATCCCCCGTCTCCCCCCCTCCTCCCCCCTTCTCTGTCACAGGTGTGGTCGGGGCGGGATTTCAAGCCCGTGAAGGTGCTGGCAGGGCACGAAGGCAAGGTCATGGGTGCTGATGTGGCAGCAGGTGAGGGCAAGGGCTTGGTTGCTGACGTGGCGGCAGGTGAGTAGTGGGGGGCGGTGGGGGGCCATTTCGAATTTTTGTCGGGGCCATGGTGTTTCGGCCCTCTTTCATGATTTTTGCTTACTTGGGAGGGACCAACAACTATCTCTTCCATTTCCCCTTTTTCCTGTTATTGTTTCTTCTCAGATGGACAATGCATCGTCACGGCGTCATATGATCGGACTATCAAACTATGGGGTAATGATGATGCTGGGGCTATGACCATGATGCAATGATGCTTATGGGTCTTCTGAAATGCGCTTGCATTGTTAGGTGAGTAGGAGATCAACGCCTGGTCACATTTGTTTTGACTCTGGTGAATGTATTGAAGATTCTACAGTCTTCATCTTGATAGTAGAAAAAAGGGTTGAAAATGTAGTCCTCAAAGTTAAAAAGTTCTACTCCTGGCTGGCAAATACCATAGACAAGCTGGCCGATTACAAATATCTTTCTAGCTACAAGCTTGTCCTCGGGGATTCACTAACAATTGCATGGGAGTTTGTCAATTTTGGTTCAATATCAAGATGCTAGAGTCAATCAATATATCTGGGATTATAATCACCAGCTATAACATTTACGACGAAAACTATTACTGGAGATTCCTAGATTGTAGTTTGGTTGTCAGCACCACGTGCACTCTTATCGCCTAATACACGTGGTCAGATCTGGAACGAATACGATGACGGCAGCTTGACATATTTCACCCTAGATTAGGGAGCCACGTGCGCGCCAATGAATTCTGAAATTGTTGTGCAATAAATCATAACGCCAACACGATCCCTAGATTTCATTCTCGATGATCACGGCAAACAACATGGCCTGGTTGAAAGGAATCATTCGTTCACACCTACCTTTGGTTGGATTTCCTGAGCAAACCCCTGCCGCTGACCTGTTCGCGCGTTTCGCCAGCCCACGTGACGTAGCTAGTTGGACAACTTGACGCGCTTATTCCTTTCGTTGACCTGGCGCAAACCAGATAATCCACGAATCACGCCTCTAGCGGGAGTCGAAAGGCCTCGCTGATGTGAACCTCACGAAGCTGACATGGGTACCTGAACCATCCAGCGTGGCAGTCGCAACCTCTGGTGTGGTCCTCCGTTGGCCATGCTGGTTTGCACGTGCTATGTGGCTCTTCGCGATTGTCATGCGCTTTTCATCCACAATGGCGTTCTGTTGGCCGAAGGAACAACTGGGGAAAGAAGAACAGCAAGCGATCCACCAAAACCCTAGCTAGACAGTCCCCCATGTGCTTGCTTCGTTTCACAGCAATGTTCGTGTCGGTAATTCCAGGTCTTTTCTTCACGCAACCTCTCCGCCTTCACTCACAAACAACGCGTTCCCCCAAGCCCAGATGTTCCCTCCCCTCCCCCCTTTCTCCCCCCCCCCGTTTCCCTCCATCCCTGTCTCTCCCCCCACCCCCCACGCCCCCACCCTCTCCCCTCACACCCACCATCTGAAGTTCCGCATCAGGTCAGTTGGGTGGCTCTTTCCAACTCCCCTAACGCGGAACCCTTCTGCGCCAGGCCCCCATTGTCACCCAACCCACTCACCCTTGTCCAGTCACGTTCACCAGTCGCACAAACTCTCATTCTGCTGAAACCCTTTTTCGTTACAGGCACAAGCCACTAGCCTAACGAGCCTCCCAGAGAATCTAAGATTTCCGACTCCTCGACAGCTCGACTCCTCGGACTTGTGACGGCAAGTTGCCTTGGGGAGAGCCAACTTCACCTTCGACTTCCCTTGCTCCTTCCTTCCTACCCCACCCCATCCCAATTACGCCACCTCATTTTCCTAAGTTCCTCCCAGTAAGCGACCCTAGAAAGGCGGTCTGGCAATTTCGTTTTCGAAGAGGTGTTTTACGACCAGATGTGTCTGTCATTAGGCTCAACGCCCTTTCGGCAGTCAGAAGAACCATTTCACGTGCCTAAAAAATCCATCAGGCGATAATACCACGTGGTTGCGTCATTATCCTAAGTCATGGTCGGCATGTCTCCTTTACGCTTTTCGCCGTCGCCCTCCCACAAGGCCTCCTGGATTGGTAGTAATTGTCCAACATGTTCCAAGTTGGCACAAAACGAAGATCAGACTATTATTAAGACCAGTCCACTCAACTCGCCTAGAAGTACAATGCCACCACCAGCGAAGAAGAAGATCTACCCCCTCGCTTTAACGATCTCGCGGTTGTTCAAGAAGTCAGCTGCAATCCCTCTGTCTCCTCGTGGTTTAGAGATGCCTGAAGGGAAGGTAGAGACCGCGATCAACGAGCTTTTGAACGGCGGTAGTTGGAGCAAGGACGATGAAGAGCAGCTGAGGATTCACTTCAAGTCCCTCCCCCCTCGGTACGTCTTAGGGTACAAGCGCTCCCACAATCCACTATGTGTTGTTGTTTACGGTCATCACCCTGTATTGTTTATTTAGATATTTCCCTACTAATCATCATTTTTTTCCATCTCTCCCTGTGTTCGTTTCTGGCAGGTACGCAGCCATGGGTTACTCTTCCGACGCAGTGAGGAGTCACATGGCTTTGGTTAAAGAATCATCAGGCTTGAAGGAGGGGATACCGGCGATCCGATTGGACGTGAACAACGGCGAGCTTGACGCGTTCATGGAGGACGAGAGCGAGACGGACGACTCCTTCTCATCGGCCGGCGGTATCTCTCTCTCGTCGTGCCTCGAGGATTCGTTATCGTCCAGCCGGACCGAGGTCACCTTCGCATGCAGCACCCATGTCTGTCGCAGCAACATCTCCTCGACATTTCACAGATCTGGCATCCGAGTTTTTGGAATCTACACATATGACACAGCCGCGGGTGCAACCCTCGGTCATTTCTACATCCGAGCGTCCATTTCTCACGTGTCCAAGAAGCAGATTGAGGATGTTCTTGCGTCGGCTATTAAAAGACCTCCCAAAGGCCTCGGGATTCAAGAAACCCTGTCCAATTTTATGAGCAAGGCGAGTCCGAGACACAGCAGCTTCGCTGATGGAGACAACAGTCAGAGGTCCAATTTGGGCTCGGTCCCTTCGTCACCTTCTCCGAGCTTCACTTCCAAGCAGGGCTCGCAGCCCGGGAAGGACTTGTTGGAAGTGCTGCTGTGCGAGAAGGGAGCGATGAAGAAGAAGCTTGGTAATTTCATCCTTGATCCGCTTCGGTTGTCAATGGGACCGGTGATTGCTGTTGGAGCGTCAGGCGAAGTCAGGAAGGGGACGTACGACGGAGAGACGGTCGCTGTTAAAGTGCTGAAAGGGGAGGGTAAAGACCCGTACGCGAATGTTGCGGAGTTTCGCCGGGAGGTGGTAACCCTAATGTCGTGCGGCCAGTGTCCGCAGCTTCTGAAGTTTCTCGGTGTCTGCATCGACTTTCGGCAACGGATCTGCATTGTTACAAAGTTCATGGAGGGAGGGACTCTGAATGACCTGCTTAGGCGACGCCAGGGCAAGAGTTTGCCGCTCAACGACGCAGTGAGCGTCGCACGCGACGTCGCACAAGCCATGGCGTTTCTTCACAAGAACGGAATGATTCACCGCGATCTGAAATCGGCGAACATTCTCTTAGATAAGGAGGGTCACGCAGTGGTGGGAGATTTCGGCGTGGCCAGACTAAAAGGAGAGCGAGGGGAGATGACAAAGGAAGTCGGAACTTACAGGTGGATGGCTCCTGAAGCCTTTGGCACAAGTCCATGGCCGGTTACCCATAAAGCTGACGTCTACAGCTTCGGAATCGTTCTGTGGGAAGTTTTAACAGGGGGAGTGCCGTTTGCTGATTATTCCCCGCTACAAGCTGCTGTGGCTGTTGCTCTTAACGGAGCGCGTCCGACTATTCCGGAATCGCTACCGGAATCGCTTCGCTCGCTGATTCAACGGTGCTGGGACAAGACGCCCAAGGAAAGACCAGAGTTCAGCGAGATTTTGACCGAGCTTGACCGGATTGCTAAGGAGATTCAGCAGCAGTAAGAGTCTTCCTTAGCTAAACCGGCCAAGGTCAACCAATTTTGAGGGTAGGCCATCCAGATTTTCCCTTCCTGGTTGAGCCCGTCTTCTCATTTTCAGTGTACAGTTCCTCTCGTCACATGGGACCAGCTTTTCATGTGCAGGTGTTACAGCAGCTCAGCAGTAACTCCCCCAATTTTGTAGGAATCAAGGTGTTTGATGAAGTATTCAGCGTGCCACAACCAGGAACTGGTGTACCATGCTGATGCTAACATGTGATTTATATGAGGTTTGTGAAGATATGGAAAGCTAACATCTTGCTAGGCACAACCTAGTACCGTATGTGGAATAGGTACACTCATGAGATAAAAGACACCTATGCTTTTTTGTGTCAGGTAGTATGTTACAGTTCTCTAAAAGTTTTACAACTTACATTTCTTCGCTTTTTGCTCCAAATAAAAAGCGATAACACATACAACAGCAGCTCGTCTAATCAATGTCTAATCCCACCTTAAGCATCATTGCAACCCATAAACATCCACCCGCATTGCATCCCCACCAGCAAACAGCAGCCGCCGTCCATGCGCCCACTTGATGTCATGATACCGCCCGGGCTGCCGGCCATCCTGGAAACCCCCTGCCAGCCTGGCACTGCCTCCTCCACTCGGCCCCACACTGCCACTCAAATCAGCCAAGTACAACCCCCGCACAGTGCTCACAGCGACGACACCTGGCAGCATGCTACTGGCCAGCTTGAGAATGGGGGATTCGTCCAGGTTCAGCGAACCGAGAGGCGGGGAGTTCCCGAGGGAGTGCAGAGAGCGCAGGTCCCAGAGCTTTAGGTAACCATCCATACCGCCTGATGCTACTGTAACAGATGCAGGGCATGCGTCCAATGCGGTTACCATGCCCGCATGGGCCTGGGGGCGGCCCGAAGAGGAGGGGGAGCCAAGCAGAGCTGGGGGAGGGGAAGGGGCACGGGGGGGGGGGGGGGGAAGAGCAGGGAGGGGGGAGAGTAAGGGGGGGGAGTGGGGAGAAAGAGGAATGGGACCCTGGAAGGAGAAAATGGGAGTGAGCACCAGTTTGGTGCCATGACTTTATTCGGCAACAACTAGTGCTTAGATAAGTGCAACAAGTGTGTATTACAAGGGGGGGAGTCACTTGCACGCAGAGACAGCGGTGGAAGTGCGGCGGTCCCAGAGGCGAATGGTGGCGTCCCGAGAGGTGAATGGGTGATTAGTGGGTAAAGAAGTGAATCATAGGGTGGTGAAGTGCACGTACCGACAGCGTTGGAAGTGCGGCGGTCTCAGAGGCGAATGGTGGCATCCCGAGAGGTGAATGGGCGATTAGTGGGTAAAGAGGTGCGACTCGAGTGACTCGAAGAGTGAGTATTTCAGGACGGTGAATGGTGAATCCACGTACCAACAGCGTTGGAAGTGCGGCGATCCCAGAGGCGAATGGTGGCGTCCCGAGAGGCAGAGAGGAAGAGGTTGGGGTTGGGGGGGAAGACTGTGAGACACGTGATGAGATCCTGTGATGGGCAAAGGGGGGAAGGAAGGGAAACGAGGTCAAGGGGGGTTGGTTTCCGTAGTGGGGTTGACCTTAGAAATGCGGAGGGGAAGAGGTTGGGGTTGTGGGGGAAGACTGTGAGACACGTGATGAGGTCCTGTGATAGATGAAGGGGAGGGAGAGACGAGAAACGCGGGGCACGAGGCAGAGAGGAAGAGGTTGGGGTTGGGGGGGAAGACTGTGAGGCACGTGATGAGATCCTGTGATGGGCAAAGGGGAGGTGGGGCGGGGGGAAGAAAGACAGTGATACAAGTGGCACGAGGCAGAGAGGAAGAGGCCGGGTGCCCCGTGCCCGTGTACTGTCCAACGGGTGGCAGGCTGCTGGGTGGTTCACCCACCTCGACTCTGTTTGAACCATGAACCACATCACGCTCCGTGTACTGCCTGACGGGGTGCAGGCTTGAGAACGGTGCCTAGCCTCTCACTCACCTGCCAGCCCTTCAGCTGCACCAGCTATTCAAACCCAACCTGCCCACAGCCCAGCCCACTACCCCTCACCTCGTGCTCCGTGTACTGCCTGACGGGGTGCAGACTGGAGAAGTGCGCCCCTGCCAGGTGGTAGCAGCAGATGTGGTCGCGCGGCGAGGCAGGTGAGGGAAGAGAGATGCAAGGGAGGAAGGGCATACATACAATACAAGACCAGCTCTCTTCTCATGCACACACCTCGTGCTCCGTGTACTGCCTGACGGGGTGCAGGCTGGAGAAGGGCGCCCCCGTAAGGTCGTAGCAGCAGATGCGGTCGCGAGGGGAGGCAGGAGAGCCGTCGGATGGAGCCATGCTCTCAGCTGTGATGAATGCCATGTCAGGATGGATGCCTATGGCCTGGTGTGTGGTGGAGAATGGTGAAGAGAGATGGAGAGAGATGGCAAGAGATGGCGAGAGATGAAGAGATAGATGGGAAGGAAGGAGGCAGGAGAGCCGTCGGATGGAGCCATGCTCTCTGCCGTGATGAATGCCATGTCTGGTTGGATTCCTATGGCCTGATGTGGGGTAGAGAGGGGTGAAGAGAAGTAAAGAGAGGAGAAGAGAGATGAGGAGATATATATAGAGAGAGGCGAGAAAGGAGGAGAGCCATTATAAGGAGCCATGCTCTCGGCTGTGATGAACGCCATGTCTGGATGGATGCCTATGCCTGATTAGGGTAGAGAGGGGTGAAGAGAGGTGAAGAGAGGTGAAGAGAGGTGAAGAGAGACATAGCGAAACAGGTGGGAGAGAAGGAGGCGTTGGATGGAGCCATACTCTTGGCTGTGATGAATGCTAGGTCTGGATGAATGCCTTTGGCCTGGTGTTGGGATGTGGGGGTGTGGGGTGTGGGTGAGAGGAAAAGAGATAGGAGTACGGATGGAGCCATACTCTTGGCTGTGATGAATGCTAGGTCTGGATGAATGCCTTTGGCCTGGTGTTGGGATGTGGGGGTGTGGGGTGTGGGTGAGAGGAAAAGAGATAGGAGTACGGATGGAGCCATACTCTTGGCTGTGATGAATGCTAGGTCTGGATGAATGCCTTTGGCCTGGTGTTGGGATGTGGGGGTGTGGGGTGTGGGTGAGAGGAAAAGAGATAGGAGTACGGATGGAGCCATGCTCTTGGCTGTGATGAATGCTAGGTCTGGATGAATGCCTTTGGCCTGGTGTTGGGATGTGGGGGTGTGGGGTGTGGGTGAGAGGAAAAGAGATAGGAGTACGGATGGAGCCATACTCTTGGCTGTGATGAATGCTAGGTCTGGATGAATGCCTTTGGCCTGGTGTTGGGATGTGGGGGTGTGGGGTGTGGGTGAGAGGAAAAGAGATAGGAGTACGGATGGAGCCATACTCTTGGCTGTGATGAATGCTAGGTCTGGATGAATGCCTTTGGCCTGGTGTTGGGATGTGGGGGTGTGGGGTGTGGGTGAGAGGAAAAGAGATAGGAGTACGGATGGAGCCATGCTCTTGGCTGTGATGAATGCTAGGTCTGGATGAATGCCTTTGGCCTGGTGTTGGGATGTGGGGGTGTGGGGTGTGGGTGAGAGGAAAAGAGATAGGAGTACGGATGGAGCCATGCTCTCGGCTGTGATGAATGCTAGGTCTGGATGAATGCCTTTGGCCTGGTGTTGGGATGTGGGGGTGTGGGGTGTGGGTGAGAGGAAAAGAGATAGGAGTACGGATGGAGCCATACTCTTGGCTGTGATGAATGCTAGGTCTGGATGAATGCCTTTGGCCTGGTGTTGGGATGTGGGGGTGTGGGGTGTGGGTGAGAGGAAAAGAGATAGGAGTACGGATGGAGCCATACTCTTGGCTGTGATGAATGCCTTTGTTTGGCCTGGTGTTGGGATGTGGGGGTGTGGGGTGTGGGTGAGAGGAAAAGAGATAGGAGTACGGATGGAGCCATGCTCTCGGCTGTGATGAATGCTAGGTCTGGATGGATGCCGATTGCCTGGTGTGTGGTAGAAAGAGGTGAAGAGAGGTGAAGAGCGATGAAGGGATTTGAAGAGAAAGGAGGAGAATTTATCTGATGCTCTCGGCCATGATGAATGCCATGTCTGGACGGCAGGTGGACGAAGGGATGTAGGTAGGGATTTGGATCGGGATTTGGATCGGGATTTGGATCGGGATTTAGATCAGTGTGAAGGTAGGTGGAGGGCAGATGAGGCTGTAGCACTCATCTCTTTATTGGCCGATGCCAGAATTAATTGCTACAATGAACAGCCTCATCTCACCAGGATACAAACACACCTCTTTACAAGCTCACCTTGATACACGATATCACACTTGTCTGATTGCGATCCAGCCGCCCCGTCACTTGCCACCCTCCCCTTCCTCCCCTACTCCCCTTCATCGCGACAATGAACAGCCCTATCTCACCTTGATACACGATATCACACTCGTCTGGTTACGATCCAGCCGCCCCGTCACTTGCCACCCTCCCCCTCCCGCTCCTCCTCCCCCTCCGCCCCCTCCCCCTGCCCCCTCGTCCCCTGTGAGTTGCAGGATGCAAGGGGCAACGGGGTTGGCGGCTGCTTGACCCTCACTCATGTCATCCTGATGTGGGAACGGCGGGGAAACAGAGAACAGGGAAGGAAATACTTGTTTGGAGCCCCATCACTTGCCGCCCTCCCCATTCCCCTGCCCCTGCCCCCCCCTCCCCCTTCTCATGCCCCGCCTCCGCCCCCTGTCCCTGCCCCCTCGTTCGCTGTGAGTTGCAGGTTGCAAGGGGCGACGGGGTTGGAGGCTTGTTGACCTTCACTCATGTCGTCCTGACGTGGGGAGTGGGGGGGAAAGGGGAGGGGTGGGGGAGAGAAGAGGGAAGAAGGAACAGGTTCGACGCAACAAATCCAGCCATTCAGTCACTTGCCACCCTCCCCCTCCCCCCCTCCCCCTGCCCCTGTCCCCTCGTCCCCTGTGAGTTGCAGGGTGCAAGGGGCGACCGAGGGTTGGTTGAACCTCACTCATGTCGCCCTGCCATGGGACAGGGGGCGGAGAGACAGAGGACAGGGGATGAGAAACTTGTCTGGAGCCCAACACTTGCGACCCTGTCCCTCCCTCCTTCCCCCTCCCCCTCCCCCTGCCCCCTCGTCCCCTGTGAGTTGCAGGATGCAAGGGGCGACGGGGTTGGAGGCTGGTTGACCTTCACTCATGTCGTCCTGACGTGAACAGAGGGGAGTAGGAACAGGTTGGGAACGGAAAGAAGTTGTTACTGAAACGGGTTCAGATGCGAAGAGCAATGGGGTTGGAGGCTGGTTGACCCTCGCTCATGTCGTCCTGATGGCAGCAGGGGAGTGGGGGAGAGGGGGGGAGTGGTGGCGAGGGGGGCCAGAGAGGAGGGAAACAGGAACAGGCTCGAACAGGAAGAGCAACGGGGTTGGAGGCTGGTTGACCCTCGCTCATGTCGTCCTGATGGCAGCAGGGGAGAGGAGACAGAGAAAAGGAAAGAAGAAACGGGTTCAGAACAGGTTTAGAAGGGAAAGCCGCGGCTCTGAAACATTTTTTTTAGCCGAAGGTTGAGTGAGAGTGGAATACAACAAACAAATGAGGGCTATGACCGAGCCATAACCAGAGCCATAACCAGGCACATGCTGTTGTGTTGTTATGACTTTTGACAAAAAAATAGAGCGACAGGGCTATGACCAGGCATTGTATTGTTATAATAATGAACTGTTGAACGTCTGTATGTGTGACACTCACTCTTGGTGCAGCTGCGAGCAGCAGGGAGGAGGGCGAGTATAGTAGGTCCATGCCATGCCACACGTACCCTTAAAGTTTCGCTCTTTGATATTGCTAAGCTGGCAGGCACGGGTTCTGCATGTTGACACTCACTCTGGGAGCAGCTGCAAGCAGCAGGGAGGAGGGCGAGTATAGAAGGTCCATGCCACACACGTAATGTGACCCGAGCAGGAGAGACTGGCGGGGCTGTAGGGACGGGGGGGGAGGAGGAGGGGGAGAGAACGTAGGGGAAAGAGGTGATAAGGAGCATGCAGAGAGGAGGGCGAGTATAGGAGGTTCATGCCACACACGTAGTGCAAGCCAAGCAGTAGGCGGGGCTGTAATGCAGAGGAAATAAATGAGGAAGAGGGGATAAGCAGCAAGCAGAGAGGGGAGCGAGAATATGAGGCCCACGAAATGGGTAGACCACAAACGAACACCGCACGTTGCCATCACCCCCCACATGATGAGACTGCAATCCATGGCTGCACTCCAGGTTGCTCCGCTGCTGCCGTCCACCCCCACTGCCATCACAAGTTCATAAACATCCCTTTACACACCTTTCCTTACCCCATCCCCACACCACACCCACCTTGCCATCGCCCCCCCACATGATGAGACTGCCGTCCATCGCCGCACTCCATGTCGCCCCACTGCTGCCATCCACCCCCACTGCCAGGATGGTGTGCTGATGCCCGTGGTAGGAGTCGAGGGGGACCAGCATGGCTGTGAGTATGGGGAGAAACGCACGAGCAATGCATGGGGATGGGATGGATGATGGAGTGTTGCTGCCAGTCAGTTGCTGCTTTTGCCGTCCACCCCCACTGCCAGGATGGTGTGCTGATGCCCGTGGTAGGAGTCGAGGGGGACCAGCATGGCTGTGAGTATGGGGAGAAACGCACGAGCAATGCATGGGGATGGGATGGATGATGGAGTGTTGCTGCCAGTCAGTTGCTGCTTTTGCCGTCCACCCCCACTGCCAGGATGGTGTGCTGATGCCCGTGGTAGGAGTCGAGGGGGACCAGCATGGCTGTGAGTATGGGGAGAAACGCACGAGCAATGCATGGGGATGGGATGGATGATGGAGTGTTGCTGCCAGTCAGTTGCTGCTTTTGCCGTCCACCCCCACTGCCAGGATGGTGTGCTGATGCCCGTGGTAGGAGTCGAGTGGGACCAGCATGGCCGTGAGTATGGGGAGAAAATCATGAACAAGGCGTGGAGATGGGTTGAAATGATTGTGTGTATGGTCGCTGCTGCCGTCCACCCCCACTGCCAGGATGGTGTGCTGATGCCCGTGGTACGAGTCCAGGGGGACCAGCATGGCGGATGGGAGGAACAAGGGAGAGAGAAACAAAGGAACAAGGGATGGGAATGGCATGAATGATGGTGTGTTGCTGCTGCCCCGCTGCTGCCATCCACCCCCACTGCCAGCCAGGATGGTGTGCTGATGGCCGTGGTAGGAGTCGAGTGGGACCAGCATGGCTGATGGGGAGAAACACACGAACAGGACGTGGGGATGAGTTGGAATGATGGTGTGTATGGTCGCTGTTGCCGTCCCACACCCCCACTGCCAGGCTGGTGTGCTGATGCCTGTGGTGGGAGTCGAGTGGGGCCAGCATGGCTGATGGGGAGAACAAGGGAGAGAGTGTGGCAGACCAGACACGCACGGGGAGCAGGCCTTGGGATGAGATGGGTGAGGGTGTGTTACTAGCCTAGCTGCTTCGTTCGTACCTACCCAAAGGCCACCAGCGCTGTCAGGGCGTGCTCATGCACCGCACCGCACCGCACCGCACCGCACCGCACCAGGACGTGCTTATACCAGCGCTGTCAGGACGTGCGGACATGATGGTGCGGTGTGGTGAATTCAGATGACTTTTGAGTCGACTCAAAAGTCATATGATGGTGCATGTGGTGAATTCAGTGCTCATGCTTAAGCACTCTCTCACATGCTCCAACCTCCGGTTCCGACACAAAAACTGCCAACAGCAGGATTCGAACCCCTCACCTTTCCTCCGATACCACATTGTAATTCCAGCTTCCGAGCAGCATTCAAAAGTGAGTTCATTGGACAACATACTTGGGTTGTTAGTCGGAGTGGTGGACTGCGATGGAGAGGATTGCATGGCATCAGTGGCTCCGCTGCCTTTTACCTCTCCACCTAATCCTCCTGCTGCTGTTGCTGCTAGTGCTGGTGGTGGTGGTGGTGGCGCCGCTGCTGGTGCTGGTGGTGCTGCTGCCGCTGCAGGGAGTGTGGAGGTAGAAGAGGAAGGGGAGGAGCCGGAGAGAAGCATCAGCTGCTGCCGCGCCTGAGCCAACTGCTGCTGCAGCTGCTGCTGCACCTGCTGCAACTGCTGCGGCGGTTGCGGCTGCTGCTGATCTAGCCCTGGATGCTGCTGCTGTAACATCTGCTGTGGCAGAGGGGGATGCTGCTGCTGCTGCTGCTGCTGCTGCTGCTGTGAGGGGGCTGAGAGCTGCTGCAGTTGCTGCTGCACCTGCTGCATCTGCTGCTGCAGCTGCTGCTGTAACTGAAACATCTGCTGCTGCTGCTGCAGCTGGTGCTGCTGTGGCTGCTGCTGCTGCTGCTGCTGTTGTGCTTGCTGCTGCACTGCTTGCAACTGTGACTGCAGCAACTGCTGCTGCTGCAGCAGCTGCAACTGTAACTGCTGCTGTTGCTGCTGCTGCTGTGGTGGCTGGATCAGATGTTCCCCACCTGCCTGTCCCTGCCCTTGCCCCTGCACCTGACCCAGCCCCTGCGCCTGCAGCTGATGCGTTGTTGACACAGGAGGGTTGAGGGGAGGAGCGGCAGTAAGGGCCATAGGAGACTGTCTGGAAGGCTGGGATTGGGGCAGGGGGGGTTGAGATGAAGGGAAGGGGGGCTGAGACGAGGGGAGCGGGGGCTGTGAGGGGGGCAGGGGGGCGTGAGATGGGGGAAGGGGCGCGGAGAGGGGAGCTGGGGAGGAGGTAGCTGCTGCCAGAGCGGCTGTAGCAGCAGCAGCACCGGCAGAAAGAGCGGCTGTAGCAGGGGGAACTGTGGGAAGAGCGGCTGTAGCAGGGGGAACGGTGGGAAGAGCGGCTGTAGCGGCAGGAGCAGCAGGAGAGGTGGTGGAGGTGATTGGGTTGTCTGTCCAGCCGAGGCTGTCCCTCACGTAATTCACATCGTAGCTGGTGGGAGGGAGGGAGGGACGGTGGGAGGGAGGGAGGGGGGGGTGGATGGGAGCAGCAGCAGGAGAGGTGGTGGAGGTGATTGGGTTGTCTGTCCAGCCAAGGCTGTCCCTCACGTAATTCACATCGTAGCTGGAAGGAGGGATGGGAGGTGGAGGGGGGGGAGGAATGGGGGGAATAGAGCGGACCAATTGCCGGTATTAGTCTTGTGCTTTGAGACGCCTCAGAAGTGTCCCACCCCATACCCCATACCCCATACCCCATACCCCATACCCCCTCTCACCCCCAACGTTTCCTTTCCTCCCCTCTCTCACCGGAAAGCCTCCTCCTCTAGTCCCCCACGGCTGCTGCTGCTCTCAACCCCCTTTCTCTCCCCGCCTTTCTTCACCTTCTTCCCCTCGCCTCTCACCCATCAAACCACCCCTTCGCCTGCTTTCTCACCGAAATGCCTCCTCCTGGAGTCCCAAGACGGCTTTCCTCAGCTCCTCCATCTTGCCCGGGTCGCCCTGAGCCACCAGCTGATCAAGGGGGGGGAGGGGAAGGGAGGGGGGGGGTTGGTGTTGGACGAAAGATGTTGCATCTTGCCCGGGTCACCCTGAGCCACCAGCTGGAAGCAGCAAAGGGGGTGGCACTGCAACGGGCTCGCAACTCCTCCATCTTGCCGGGGTCGCCCTGCGCCACCAGCTGATTAGGGGGGGAGCATGGGTTGAGTTGAGTACAAGGAGAGGGAGGAGCGGATGGGAGGGTGGGCGGGTGGGCATGGAAGCAGCAAAGGGGCCGGCACTGCAACGGGCTCTCAACTCCTCCATCTTGCCCGGGTCGCCCTGCGCCACCAGCTGACAGGGAATCGATGGAAAGGAAGGGTGTGCGTGGAAAGGAGGGAGAGGCAGGGTTGAGATGGAAGAAGCAAAGGGGGTGCCCTTGCCTGGGTCGCCCTGCTCCACCAGCTGAAAGGGAATCGATGGACAGGACGGGTGTGCATGGAAAGGAGGAAACGGCAGGGTTGAGCTGAGGAGCATGCGGAAATTCATTCACCTGAGGGGCACCTGCCAACTCTCACAGGAAGGGGAATCACCGGGGGGCGAGCTCACCTGAGGGGCACATGCTGTCACTTACGTGAGGAGGAGCACATGGGATGGGAAGCGCACACCTGGACAGCTCATGAAAGGTTGTGTTGTTGTTGTCACTTGCGAAGCGCAGAGCTCCACGGTCTTCCCCAGCATGGTGACTGCAGCACGGCGGTTATGCGTCTTGTCCGGCATGCTTGCATATTGCGAAGGGGGGCTATTTGATCAGGGGAACACGGGGGTTGTTGTGTTGGTCTCACCTGGGGAGCACAGAGCTCGACAGTCTTCCCCAGCATGGTGACAGCAGCACAGCGGTTGTCTGGCTTGCACATCAAGAGGGGAGGGCGAAGGGGAGGGGGGCGGGGTGGGGTGGTCTTACCAGGGAGGCACATGCGGGTTTCTCACCTGGGGGGCGCAGAGCTCAACAGTCTTCCCCAGCATGGTCACTGCAGCGCAGCGGTTGTCGGGCTTGTACGGCTTATGGGGACTCATGCGGGGCTGGCATGTGTGCATACATGGGGAGTGTTGGTCTCACCTGGAAGGCGCAGAGCTCAACAGTCTTCCCCAGCATGGTGACTGCAGCACAGCAGTTGTCCGGCTTGCATGGCATTCTTGCATATCAGAGATGTTGTTCCCTCGAGGGCACATGGGGGGGTGTTGGTCTCTCTCTCTCACCTGGGGAGCGCAGAGCTCGACAGTCTTCCCCAGCATGGTCACTGCGGCGCAGCGGTTGTCCGGCTTGCGCAGCAACGTGAGGATGGTGGTCACAGCGCCTGGTGGGGGGTAAGATTGCATGGTGGGGGGAAAGGGAATCAGGTGCCTGGGACTGGGTTTTGAGGCGCCTCAGATGGTGACTGCAGCGCAGCGGTTGTCCGGCTTGCGTAGCAACGTGAGGATGGTTGTCGCTGCGCCTGGTGGGGTTGCATATACACACGAGAGGTGGAAAGGAAGGAAATCAGGTAAGTAAGAAAGGGAAGGTTGATTCAAGATACAAGGATGAGTTGCATCAAGAGTGAGTTGCATCAAGAATGAGTTGCATCGAGGAACGTGCGGATTTTGGTGACGTGACGGTGCCGTGATGGGGTTGCACAGCTGTGCGGTGGGAAGGATAGGTGCAACAAGCGGCACGCCATAAGCCAACCCATTTTCCTCTCATGTCAAATCCATGCCATGGCATCCACCAGCATGCCAGCTCACCCTGAATGCCAGCTCACCCCGAATGCCAGCTCACCCTGAATGCCAGCTCACCCTGAATGGAGACAAACTCGAGGTGCACGAGGGCGGCAAACGCCTCAGCATGGACAAAGAACTCCGCCCGGCTGGCATCGGGCGGCCGCTTTATCGTCAGGAACTTGAGAATCTGCGGGTTGAATGGCAGGGGGGGTGTGGGTTGAGTGGCAGAGGGGTTCCGGGTTTAGGGTTTTCTAGGAGCCCGGGCGCCCGCTTGATCGTTGGAACTTGAGGATCTGCGGGGTGAATGGCAGAGGGGGCCCGACTTAAGGGTTCTGGGTTTTTCAGGCGCCTATAGAATTGTCGGGCGTACGCTTGATCGTGAGAAATTCGAGGATCTGCAGAATTCGGTGGCAGAGGGGAAAGAAGATCTACCCGTTAAGGTCCAAGGTTCGTTGTCCATGGTCGGAACAAGAGGATTTGTGAGTTGGTGGAAGAATAACAGAGCATGTTTGTAAATTGACTTTTGAGTCTCTCATCTTGACCTTTGCCGCGTCTGGTAACCTGCGAGCCACACACGTGTGTGTATGTATGTACCCTGTATGCACTCTGTAGTGTACAGTAACTGCTACCTACCTTAGGGATGAGCGTGTCTCTCATCTTGACCTTTGCTGCGTCTGGTAACCTGCCAGCCACACACACACACAGGCAGGCAGAAGGGGATTGAAGTAGCACAGCAACACACGATGGTGGTTGATAAGCAGGAGGCGACTTTTGAGTTGACTAGAAAGTCACCAGTACGTGCCAGCCGCATGCACAGGCACGTACTGGTGACTGGTTGTCTGGTGGGAAAGAGACAAGGCCCTCACTTCCTCACTCACCGTGGCACGAGGCGCATGAAGGTCACGACGCTGATCTTCTGAGCGAGCAGAGCATGGGGCAGGCAAGCAGGCATGTTCTGGTGACTGGTACTTTTGCAGGAGAGAAAGTAGCCCCTCACTCACTCACGAAGCGCACTCACCTTGGCACGAGGCGCATGAAAGGAACGACGCTGATCTTCTGAGCGAGCAGGTCCGTTTCAAACACCACGTGGAGGAATGCTGCCACGAAGGCATCCAGGGGCTCCTGTGGTAACCAGACAGGCAGGGTTTCGGTTTTTGACAAGCAGGGTTTAAGGTTTTGCATTGAATAATCAAAACATGTAATGACGCCATGAAGACATCACCAACTGGTGCAGGTGGGATTGCAGGATGGGTAATGGGTAATGGGTAATGCGTAGTGGATAGGGTTAGGAGTAAGGAGGAAATGGGGAAGACACACAAATGCATGAGGAATCAGATTGATGCCCCCCGTTGGAATCACAATCACAAGCACGGAACACGAACCTCATTGGCCTTCGCCCCAACCGCTGCGCCTTCTTTCTCCTCCCCGTTTCCGCTTCCGCTCTTGCTCCCGCCTCCACTCCCCCCCGCGCCCCCTTTCTCCCCTTCCCCCAGCAGCGTCCGAACGTCTCGCGCAACCGAATCAAGTTCCGCGGGGTCGCGCAGGCGCGCAATCAGCGCCTCGAACACGGGGCGCAAATTGCGCGCGCGCACATCGTCCGCGATCGCCCTGGCCAGGGCGGGCGCCGGGAAGGGGGGGTCAGGGGGGGAAGGGGATGCGGATATGGTAAGCCGAGGTGTAGTGCTTGACATGCCACTGCGCGCCAAGCCAGCGCGGGGGAAGGCGGCCGGGCGGAAATGGGGACAAGCGCGCGTTTGAGGTGCCAAATGTTTTGGTGCAACTGGGTGGTGGCTAGCGGCTGCCACGTAGTGGATGCCTGCGCTGACACGTGGCATCACTCACCTGAGGGCGCTAAAAAGATGCGTCGCGAGAGGAATCTCCTCCGCACTCACATCCACTTCTATCACTATCCGCATCCTGCCCCTCGGTATTGTCACTACTGGGAGACCCACACGGACCGCAGCTATTACCCAAATCAGACAATGTTTCGAAAATAATATGTCCTCAGCGACCGCAGCATTCAACCATTGTAGTAACTGCTTTTATGACCTAGTTGCAAAGGTTGATCAGGCGCAGAAGCAAAATGGGGCGAAGGAATAAGTAGCCCAGCAAATTAGTTGTGGTTTTGCCACGTGTTTTGCCTAGGGGGACTTGACTGAAATCTGGATTCAATTGAGTGCACTTCGTTACCGTGTGCACCTCGTCTTCATAATAATTATATTTCTACATATGCTTGAGTCTTTGGAATTACTGAATTTGTTCCAGACTGTAGAGGTGCATGACGTGGGTGATCAGCAGATAACTGGTGGATAACATCGCCAGTCGCATGGCATGCACCCATTGGTGTTAATCCGCACGCGGTAGCACGTGGTACCTCGATTCACTCGGCCGCATGCGATATTTCCGTCCAATCCGTGGCGGACCTTGGCGCGAGTCGCATAAGAACGTCATGAGGCAGGGCAACCCCTTTCTTTTGCTTTCCCGCAGTTTGTATTTGGGAAGAAGGATATGTCTTATTGAACAGCTTATAAACTATATATTCCTCTGCATCAGCTGTGTTCTACCAGAAGATATCGTCAAAGTATGCCCAAAAACACTACTCGGGAAACCAAATTCGTAATTTCCTCGGCTGAAGTTTCACGTCGAAGTGCAGACTGTTCCCAAGGTACCCCTGTCTTGAGAAAAGGCGGGAACGAGATCTGCGTCAGCCAATCGGCAAACGCTGCAACCTCCGTCACCTCCTCCTGTCCCCGCCCCCTCCCCGCACCTTCCCCCGCCTCTCCCCCCCTCCCCGCGCTTTTCCCATAGCTTCCCAATTGTGTCTGATCCTGACCCCAGGAGGGAGTGGTGTGAGCCAGTTTCTCTCGGAAACCCATTCAACCGTTCTAGACTTGACATTGTGCGTCTTGAAACGCAGGACAACTGACTCAACCGCACTGAAGTAGAGGCTTATGACAGAACCGAAGGCGGAACTAATCCTGGCTGGTTTATAGGTCAGTTTTACCATGAGCAAGCAGACTTGCGCAGTGAGCAGAATTTCAGAATTCAGAGACAGATTGCCAGTGTGACCAGCAACTAGAACCTTCATTTGCTGGTTTCTGCATTTGCCTGGCAGAGGAATTAGAGGCTTTCCTCTAGTGCTGTATTTTTCTACTGTGACATTTTTAGATCCCGTGCTAATTGCTTGACTCGTTATGGCTACGTTACGCGTTGCGTCGTCCGCAACAGCTGCAGTCGGAGTATCACCGTGTGCGGTTTCAGCGACCAAGCAACAGCACTCTCAAATCTCCTTCCTAAGAACGGTGAAAAATGCTCCGCTAAGAGCAGTTTCTTATCGAAGCGTAAAAGCTATTCCCTCGCCAGCATTGCGACCCACAGCAGCCTTCTCGGATAATTCTTCTTCCACCTCGCCGCTTCGCCATTCGCTCTTACGCTCGGAAGGAGCGGTCGAGAATCGCGAAGCTTCGTGGAGCAAGCGATCAGCGGTTGTGACGCGGAGCGGCGATGGCGAAACGGCGGAAGCAGCATCAGGCGATGCGAAGAGCGAGCTGACGAAAACGATTCAGCTGGGATCGCTGTTCGGGCTGTGGTACCTCTTTAACATCTACTTCAACATTTACAACAAGCAGGTGGGTTTGTTGCGAAATTCTGCCCAATGTCTTTCACAAAAGGCGATCTAGCTAGCTACTTGAAGGAACGTGGTATCTGTTCCTCATTCACTACATAAAGTCGTGCTTCAATGATTCACGAGTTTTACATCTGTTAATTTGTTAATCTTTACAGACCGAAAACATTCAATGTAGATTCGAAGATGTTGAATGGTGGTTTTTGCAGTCGAAAGGGATGGGTGCAAATCAAGGTTCTGAAATTGCGCCGAAAGCATAAAAGCGCGTGCTTGAAATCCGCCATCTTGCCCCTCACCTGCTCGCACACTCGCACGCACACACGGAGTATGAGAACGCTTAATAATGTGCTGAAACGTCGTTCTCCTCCCGTGCAGGTGCTCAAGGTGTTCCCGTACCCGCTCACCATCACGACGGTGCAATTCGCCATCGGGTCGATCGTGGTGCTGCTGTCGTGGGCCACCAACATCGTCAAGCGCCCCACCATCTCTAAAGCGCAGGTGAGGCAGGCGCAGGTGAGGCAGGCGCAGGTGAGAATGCGCCTCTTCATCCCATCCCTTCTCATCACCTCATCCCGTATCTTCCCGTCCCGTATGCGTCCATGCCAGTTCCATATTTCCCGCTATTCCACTCCCCCTTCATTTCCCTCCAATACCCCCCAGCTCCTGGCGATCCTGCCTCTAGCCCTCGTGCACACCATGGGCAACGCGTTCACGAACGTCAGCCTGGGCAAGGTGGCCGTGTCGTTCACTCATCCCCCCCATCCCCACCACACCCCCATCGCCCCATCCTCCCGTGCTAACTCTCCTGCAGCTCCTGGCCATCCTGCCTCTCGCCCTCGTGCACACCATGGGCAACGCCTTCACCAACGTCAGCCTGGGCAAGGTGGCCGTGTCGTTCACGCACACCATCAAAGCTCTTGAACCCTTCTTCTCCGTCACGCTCTCCGCGCTGCTGCTGGGGGAGGTGAGTTCCGGCAGGAGGAAGGGGGCAGGGTGGGTGAGGCGGTTCTGTACGGGTTGTGGGCAGGGTGGCAAGGCAGCCGTGTCGTTCACGTCACGCACACCATCAAGGCGCTCGAGCTTTTATTTTCTCAATTGTCTCAAAACTCCCTTCATCCTGTCGTTAGCAACTTCAACCTCTCCAGCAACCCACGCTGCCTGTGATCCTCGCACTCATGCCCATCGTTGAAGGTGTGGCGCTCAAGAGTTCTCAACCGTCTCAAACCTCCCTTTACTCCTCCCCACTCCTCCCCACGCCTCCTCCAGCAACCCACGCTGTCGGTAATCCTCGCGGCGCTTAGAGTTACCTCTCCCATTCCCCCCCACGGTTCCCCCCGCTCCCCCTGACCCCTCTCCACCCCTCCAGCAACCCACGCTGCCGGTCATCCTCGCGCTCGTGCCCATCGTGGGAGGCGTGGCGCTTAGAGCTCCCAGTTTGAATCTTCTGTCACCCCTTCCCACCCCTCCCCACTCCCCGCCACACCCGCTTCAGCAACCCACGCTGCCTGTGATTCTCGCGCTCATGCCCATCGTGGGAGGCGTGGCGCTTAGAGCTCCCAGTTTGAATCTTCTGTCACCCCTTCCCACCCCTCCCCACTCCCCGCCACACCCGCTTCAGCAACCCACGCTGCCTGTGATTCTCGCGCTCATGCCCATCGTGGGAGGCGTGGCGCTCGCCTCTGCCACCGAAGCTTCCTTCAACTGGTATGTGCCATCCTGTGCTGTGATGTTTCCTGCCATGCCATCCCGTGCCACCATGCCGGGCAATGTCACGCCGGGCAGTGTCATGCTGGGCAATACCACTTTGCTTCAAACGCCTCCCCATCCTCGGCACCACCTCTCTGTATCGCCGGCAACCTCTGGCGCGCATCGCATTTGGAGTCGATTCAAAACATGCATCTAACCGCTAGTGGAGGCCTTGCTTCTCCTCGCTGGCAAGACGGGCTTGCTTCTTCCCATGGCCTCCACTCTCACCTTCCACTCTCTTGTATCCATACCAACCTATCCACCCCGTGTCCCTGTCTGCACCCCTTTCCCCCTTTCTGCACCACTTCGCCCCCTTCCACACCCCTCTGCACCTCTCTGCATGCAGGGCGGGCTTCCTGTCCGCCATGGCGTCCAACCTCACCTTCCAGTCGCGAAACGTTCTTAGCAAGAAGCTCATGATCAAGAAAGACGTGAGAACCCCCTTTCTTCCCATGTCCTCCTTGTGCCCTTGTCCTTGTCTTGTCTTGCCCTTGTCAGCCTGTCACTCCTTGCCCCTGTCACCCTGTCGCTCTCATCCCCTGTGTGCCGTGTGCTCCCAAACCCCACCTCCCCCTCCCATCCAGTCATCGCTGGACAACATAAATCTCTTCTCCATCATCACTGTCCTCTCCTTCCTGCTGCTTCTGTTCCCCATCCATTGTCCGTGTTCTCCCATTCCCTTCCCCCCTTCTTCCCCCCCCTCCCATCCAGTCATCGCTGGACAACATAAATCTCTTCTCCATCATCACCGTCCTCTCTGCTGCTGCTCTTCTTCACGCCCCGCTCTCCATTTGCCCCCCTTCCCTTCCCCTCCTCTCCCCCACCAGTCATCGCTGGACAACATAACCCTCTTCTCTATCATCACCGTCCTCTCATTCTTCCTGCTGCTGCTGCCCTTCTCTCCCTGCTGCTGTTCCCCATCCATGCCCGTGTGCTCCCATCACCCCCCTCCCTCCCCCACCAGTCGTCACTCGACAACATAAACCTCTTCTCCATCATCACCATCCTCTCATTCCTCCTGCTGCTGCTAATGCTGTTCCCCATCCATGCCCGTGTGTGCTTGTGTGCTCCCCTTGCCCATCCCCCTCCCACCAGTCATCGCTCGACAACATAAACCTCTTCTCCATCATCACCATCCTCTCATCTTCCTGCCCTCCTCCCTGCTGCTGTTTCCTATCCCTACCCGTGCACTCTCCCCCCATCCCCCCCTCCCACCAGTCATCACTGGACAACATAAACCTCTTCTCCATCATCACCGTCCTTTCCTTCTTCCTGCTGCTGCCTGTCGCTCTCCTCACAGAGGGCATCAAGTTCAGCCCCACACTGCTGCAGGCGCAGGTACGACTTTGGGCTTTAAGGTTATAGGCACTATGGTGTGAATGCTCCTACAAAGCTCCTCACAGAGGGCATCAAGTTCAGCCCCACGCTGCTGCAGGCGCAGGTATGGCATGGGCTTTAAGTGGGGACTCTTGTGTGAGGGCCTTGGGCTTTGAGGGCTATCACTGCACTGTGGTGGGAATGCTCATGAAAGCTCCTCACAGAGGGCATCAAGTTCAGCCCCACGCTGCTGCAGGCGCAGGTACGATTTGGTGGCATGTCGTCATGCTGTGAGGCTTATAGTGAGGATTATTGTGGGAGGGCCTTGGGCTTTAAGTTCACTGTGGTGTGACCCTACCACCACCGCTACCTGTCGCTCTCCTCACAGAGGGCATCAAGTTCAGCCCCACGCTGCTTCAAGCACAGGTGCGACTTTGGGCTTTGAGTGTTGACTGCGCGTTGGGCTTTAACTTACTCTGGTGTGATTCCACTGTGGTAACGCTGCTCAGGGTCGGCATCAAGTTCAACCCGTACTTGCTGGCTTCGGTATGGCCCAACATGGCTCTAGTTTCACATGATATGGCTCTAGATTCGAAGTTATGTGGCTCACAATGTTTGTCTGTATGGTTCTACGTTGTTGCTTTCTTCCCTTGTTGCTCGCTTGTTGCATTCCTCCCTTGCTCCCTGACCCACCTAGTAAAATGTCATGTGTTCTCCCGTCCCTTCGGTCCCCCTCCCCTTCCTTCCTTCCCCTCCGTTTCTTTTCCCTCCGCTTCTTTTCTGATTCCCACCCTGCCAGGGAGTGGACGTGCAAAGGCTGCTTGTTCGATCCACGCTCGCTGCTCTCTGCTTCCACGCCTACCAGCAGGTATGGGTTCCAAGCCTACCAGCAGGTATGGGTTCCAAGCCTACCAGCAGGTACGGGTGCTTCCATGCCTACCAGCAGTTGTGACTCAATTCAGATTCTGCCCTGCAATTCAAGTCTGGACTGGATTGAATCGAGTCCATGTTTCCATTTCGGGGGAAATCAGACTTCGTCCTATTATCCCTCCCTCTTTCTACCCCCCATCTCTCTTGCTCTCTTTCTGCCCCCCAATCTCTTTGCTGCTCTCTTGCCCGCCTCCCTTCCCTTTCCTCCAAATCCCCCACTTGATCCTTTAGCCTGTCTTCCCAGTCACTCATATTGCCGGCCTGTCAGTCCTTGTGTGTCATTCCAGTCAACCTGTTCCCCTCTCTTCCTTTCCCTCGCTTCCCTTTCCTCCAGGTCTCCTACATGATTCTCCAGCGTGTCTCCCCAGTCACCCACTCAGTCGGCAACTGCCTGCCCAGTCACCCACCTTCCCCCTCTCCCCCCTCTCCCCACCTCCGCCCTTCCCTTTCCTCCAGGTCTCCTACATGATTCTGCAGCGTGTCTCCCCAGTCACCCACTCAGTCGGCAACTGCGTTAAGAGGGTCATCGTTATAGTCACATCTGTGCTCTTCTTTCGAACCCCCGTCTCCCCGATCAACGCCGTCGGTACGTGCTTCGTATATGCCAGCATTCGTTACAGTCACATCCATGGTCATCGTTATAGTCACATCTGTGCTCTTCTTCCGAACCCCCGTCTCCCCGATCAACGCCGTCTGTACGTGCTTCGTATATGCCAGCATTCGTTACAGTCACATCTGTGTTAAGGAGATCATTGTTGTAGTCACATCCTTGTTTATTCCTGAACCCATCAATGCCAATTCATTACAAGGGGGCAAGCGAACCCTCGTTATAGTCACATTTTGGTTGCGGAGGGCCTGTTTTAGAGTCGCATCTCTGATCCTCTTCCCGACCCTACCCAATCAACGATGCCAGTACGTGCACGCAAGAGGGCCAACAAGCCTCATTGTAGCGGCGTTTCTTGGTGGCACTAGACATTTACAAATGGAACTGCTTTGTCTTTGTTGTCCTTTCTTTCTTTCTCCCCCCCCCCCCCCCGCCCAATCTTGCTGCTTGTAGGCACTGCGGTTGCCCTGGGTGGTGTGTTTGCATATTCTCGTGCCAAGTCCTCCAAGCCCAAGGCTGCATAGGGTCGACTGGCTTGGGTTTCAATAATAAAGCCTAGGTTGTTCCTGTTTGCGACGTAGTTTTTCCAGGCAGAAATTGTGTGTGTAGAGGGGGGTTTCTCCCTTATCCATGCGAGGAAGTTGTAGCTGCTGCTAGTACGGTAAGTAAAGACACTTAAAAACGAGCGTCGCCCTAAGGCATATCCTTATGCTTCTCCTTCAGTGGCCTATGCAAAGTGACCTGTGCATGTGTTAGTTTGGATGATGTCGTGTACCTGTGTCAATATTCAAATTATATACATGCACAGGACTGAAGGTTATGTACAACAGCATACATAGACCCTGTTTTCCACTGGAAAAATCTGCGTAAGCAACTATTGTTCCTTGGATGTATTTGGCGAGTTGATTATAACCGCTCATAGAAGGTGGGATTCGTGAGGGAGGTTCCAAATCTTCACCTTTCCTGAACACCGGTACCCTACCCAGCCATTCCAAAGAGTTCCCTGACCGAGTTAAAGCCCGCAGCTAAAATAGTGACCCCCCCCTTCTAGTTGGGTCCACTTGAAGACTCAAGTCTTTTTGTATCGTTTTGGGAAGTTGGAAGTCCCGTGATTTTGTTTTTTCGACCGTCAGACTGGTTTCGTAGTGGAGCAGGAACGAAAGTTCTTTCTCAATTGTGATTGGCAGCCTGATTCTCCCACATGTACATGTGCGAATTTGGCGCAAAGCTGTGCGACGTGCACTCCAGCATTCACTTGAGCCAATACTTCACCAAATTCGCATGTAGCAACATCTCACGCTAAATCCCAAGCAGACACACATGTACGTGATGAGAGTGGAAGTTTGTGAACGTGATGAGGGCTAGTAGATCTCTGAGCAATGTGCTGCCTTGGACTTGGGGCCTGGGAGAGGTGCGATAACGGGGAGTAGTGGAGAAAAAAGCACGAGGTGATGCGAATGAATAGAACGAAGGGAGATTGCAAGGGCGACGGGATGGGACGGGAGATTGCAAGGGCGTCGGGATGGGAAGGGGGATTGCAAGGGCGACGGGACAGGAAGGGAGATTGCAAGGGCGACGGGATGGGAAGGGATATTGCAAGGGCGACGGGATGGGAAGGGAGATTGCAAGGGCGACGGGATTTAGAAGGGAGATTTCAAGGGCGACGGGAGGGAGAGCGCAGAGGCGAAGGGAAAGGGATCACGAACACTTAGACGACGGGCATGGAGGGGCGACGGGAAGGAAGGGGGGGCATCGAAGGCAAGGGGAGAGAGGGGAGATCGTGAGGCGACGGGAAGGAACGGGGACATCGAAGGCGAGGGGAGAGAGGGGAGATCGTGAGGCGACGGGAAGGAACGGGGACATCGAAGGCGAGGGAACGGCGCCACGATAAACGAGGCAGCGGGCAGCGAGAGGAGATAACCGAGGCGATGGGTAGCGAGGGGAGATAAACGGGAGGGCTACGGAATGGACGACATGATCGCGATGCGACGGGACGGACGGCGCGACTGATATCACAACGGGAGGATGAGCGAGATGGGATGGGAGGGGGGGGAGAGGACGATCGAAACGGCAGAAGAAGTACGCAACCATGCCCTCTAGTTACTACGCGTCTAAATTGCGGTAACAGCGACCTAATTGCAGAGTTATATGGCTACAGAAGCTACGCATAACTAAGGAGCAGGTGCAAATGAGCGGAAGAAGTAGTAGTTCACCCAATCCCAAGTTGAAAGGAAAGCTGGCCCCAGATCGCTTGTTGCGCGGCTTCAAAAAATGAGATGCGACACCTGACGTGCTGGGTTGGTTATTTTTTTGGTTGGCGGGAACCAATCAGATGTGTTCGATTTGTATAACCGCTCTCTTTGAAACAGTGCATACTTGTCAGTTTGCCCCCAAAATTTTAGGGTGCATTCTTGGATCGTGTCTGACATGAGGTCAGACACGAAGTGTTGTTGAGGAAGACCCGAAGTGGCCTCGAACTCTGGCAAATCAATGTTCGGAAGACCCGAAGTGGGCCACTTCGGGTCTTCCGAACCTCCACCCAAACCTCCACTTCGTGTCTGACACGAGGTAGGAATGCACCCTTAGCACTCTTTCAAGCTGGTCCTGGGGTCACTATTTTAGCATATCTCACTTTGTTGAATTGAATCTCGTAAATGCAAAGTTTTATATTACACTGTTGATAGGCTCCTGCCGTGGTGGGTTTCTACAAACGGATAGTTTAGTATACCCGAGGGTTTGCAAGAATGACATCCTGGTGCATCGCGCCGCATGTACACCGGACCCGACCTTCATAAACCCGACATCATACAGATTGGACTCGTGAAGGCGGATCTGTTTTTTAGCCTGGCTTTCGACAATACAATTGATGCCTGTTTGAGCCCCTCCCGGTTGCCTTGTGAAGGGGGCGTATAAGCTGTATCGTGAATTTCGTATAAGTTTCGTCAATTCGCAGCTAGCTAAAAAGGATTCGCAGGTGCTTATATTAAAGCCAGGATCTCAAGTAAGAGAATTGGCCTTCAATTGCAAAACACTTGCAGCGCTTGTTACCCTATTTTTGTAGGCGAATTGACTGGCTGGTTAGGAAAGTGAGCGTGCGGCACACCCACGATTTTGCCCCTAGAGCAAACGCAAAACATTTTGCTGGTACATGAGATTGTTGTGTGTGACGAGAAATTGCAGGCATTGGAGCTTCGTCACCGAACCAGTTTCCGAGCCTTGCTTGGTTCGGACTGAACTTGCGATTTGTCTTTACTTCGCACCCCTCGCTTCACACCTCGTCAGATTGTTCACCTCGCTAACCAATCGCAGCCCAGCTCCCCTCACCAACTGCAAAACAATTGAACTACTTGAGATCCTGGCTTTAAGTATCTGTAACCTTATCCGTTGACATTTTGACTTCAGTCTCTTCAGTGTGACTTCGGTCTGTTCGTTACTATTGGTCCATAACCACGCGACGCGCTTGTATCGTGGGTGCAACAGGCTAGGGAAAAGACCTCGGGTGCAGCGTTTCCATCCGGTGCAGGGCAAGCGTGCAATGGTTGGGCATCATGTGTACTGCACCTAGGTCTAGCCTGTTTTAACCTCGACTGCCACCTGTAGAAACTGTCAGGCGGACACTTGGGACCCACCTGCTCCCAAAAGGGAACGTCTTCCACCTGAGATACCACCAAGAACCATGTCCGTCCTTTTGTGAAAATAGAATGCGGAACTGGGCGGTATTGCCGTCCAAACATCAAGGTGTGGGGATCGGCTTGGGATGAAGGGAGACACTGGATTCTGTGCGTGAGGCTTGTCTGCTTTGGTTTGGTGGCCTGGTCGTTGGGGTCTGGTTTGGAATCCAGCGAGCAGTAGGTTGGCGAACAATTCCAGCCTTGAAATTTTGAGGCTCTGATAACCCTTGAGTGTTTGGGCAGACAGAAGGAGGACCATATTTTTACGGAAAGACTCCTAAGTCGCTTATCTGCTAGTGTGTGGGTATCAGTATCTGCTACAATGGGCATCTGCTTATTTCCATTGCGGACCTATTTGATTGCAATCTGAGTCAACCTTTCTGTCGGGTGTGAGTGTGGATACAATTGCGGTCGCAAAGCTTGTCGCTTCTTCCCATAGTGCATCTTGGCGCGACGTGATGCCCCCCCCATTCTTCTCATCTCACAGCTTTGACATTGCGGTCAGATTTCGTTGACATTTTCGGCTTCATCGGGTGAAACTGGAAGTTGTTTTCTCCACTTGCTGTCAGTTTAGGGCTACATTGTACAGAAAACATGTAATAATCTCCTAATTTGCTTGGTTTGCCTTCATGTTCCAAAACGCTCGCTCGCCCTACATCCTGAATGTCTGTCCTGCGACGCGACTTCGGAGTCGCGATTCTCTAACCGTTTCGTTTTCTCCAATCCAAACTTTTCCATTTCCAGGCTGCGACCTTCATCAGGTTGCTGAATTTCGAACATAAAAGCACTGCGGAGCTCACTTCATTTCTCATCCTCAGTGACATCTTTCCATTTTCCAAGAACCGTCATCAAAGGAGTTACGTCTTTCCGCCATGGCTTCCAGCTCCGTGTTTGCCGCGGTGCTACTTCTCTCCCTTTCTATACCCTTCGTTCTTGCTGGAAACGCTGCTGGCGCGGAGCAATCGTCTCAGTCCAACTACGAATATGACGCCAACGGCAACATTATCCTCTCTTCTGCTGGGAACAACAACCAGAACGGCAACGGGAAGGGTACATCCGCGGACGTGATCGACTGGTACAACGACCAGGAGTACCCGACCTGCCCGCTTAAAGCCTGCCCGCCTTTCAAGCACTATTGCTCGGGCGGCATGTGCAACGACACGGCCGGCATCCTCGGCCGCTGGAGGGTGAGCGTCAACTCTCGAATTCCAGATTTGCCAATTCCGATCCGGATTTGCGTATTACAATTCTGTCGATCCGCTCTCTTCACACATCTCAGCTCGTTTGTCCAGTTTCTCGCGTCACGGTAATATCTAAATTCTCCCAATTTCCGGTTGTGTTTGCCTGCCCTGACCGTCACCGTGCCGCGCAGCTCCCCGAGCAGTCGTCGCTCGTGTGTCCGCCGGGGCGCGCCAACCCGAAGCCCAACAACGAGTGGTGCATCGGGGAGCTCACGCCGTCGCAGTGCTGCAAGGCGTGCTCCGACAGCAAGGAGCCGTGTGCCATGTGGCAGCACTACATTGGGTGAGTAAATTCGCGGGTTTCTTCCGCGGCTCGGCATGTTGCTTCGACGGAGGATGCGGGATCGGCATTGATGCGGTCCTAATTCTCTTGCTCTGCTGTGCGCGCTGTTTCGCGGCAACCAAATTAATATTTCTCTATTCCTCGCTTTGTCCCTTTTCTTATCTTGTCCTTTTGCAGAACCGTGAACCCGTCCGGCAAGTGCCTCAAGTGCGGAATCTGCTGGCTGTACCCGCCCGGCACGGCGCCGCGGTGCGAGACGCAGCTGGATAACAACAACGGCTACCGCATCAAGTACAACTGCTCGCGCATCGGCGGCAGCTGCCCCTACA